CCCATTGAGCCAAGGCCATTCTTCTGTTAAATGTGTCATACTGTCTCAATGTCCAGATGAGGTGGGTAGGACTGAAATTAATGAGCGAGGAAATAGATATTGAGGATATGTATTGGGAGCGACCGAGACCCCGAGGCCCCCGCAGCTCCCCCAGCCGGCCCCAGGCCCAGCAGGGCAACAGGACTCACCGGAGGCCACGCAGCTGTCACCGCGGGGAAACCTCAGCCCCGGCGGGGTAACAACTCCTAGCAAGCCCGCCGACCCTGACACGAACCCGAGACCGCCTTCCTAGTCACAACCAACCCTCCCCAGGCTTTTGAAGAGCAGCCACCTCCTCCAATCGCCAGCTAGAAGCTCTCCTGGTAGGCGGGGCCGAGCCAGCTCGAGGCGGGGTGAAGAGGCGGAAGTCTCCGCCCCCCGAAGCTTGGTTGAGAGGCCCACCTGCGGTTGCAGCGGTACGGCTGTTTGAAGCGGGCGCCAGAGGTGGCGGGAAGCTACCGCTGCGCGCCCATTGGTAAACCCGAGAGCCAATTGTGATAGGGCTGGCTCTGGGAGGGCGGGCTTACCGGTTGCCTAGAGACTCAGGGCACTTCGCTTGATTTCCTGAGTTTGGGACCAGTGCCCCGTCATGTGCTCTTTCCGCTCCTGAGCCCCGGGTCTAGGTGGAAGCGCCCAGAATCCCACCACACTCGCCGTCCAAGTTTTCGCATGTACTCTTTTGTTCTCTGAGATGCGATCGGCAGTCTAACCTTTTAACCCTGTGTGCTGTAGCGCAGCTCCGGATCTGACCGGTCTAACTTTGCTCTCCCACCGCCTCACCCCACGATGCCTACCCTGCCCCCCACCCGCCCCGTAAACAGGCCTTTAATCCATGGGTACGCAGTGAATGAAATCACAGGCTGCCTACAGTCCCGGGAACTTCCTCTCCCAGGCGTGGCCCTCCCAGCCTCACCTCTCCACCTGCTCAGGCTTCCGGGGAGCACACGCCTCCTCGGGAGGCTTCCCTGGCACAGTCTGCCTCCTTGGAAGACGCACTCCTCCCCGCCTCTGTAGTGTCTGTCCCGCTGTGGGATGGGAGGGCCCCTGTGCCTGTTCCCCTAGTTCCTGCACCTGCACCCCACTGGGAAGAACAGAGGGAGTTATCTCCGAGAGGCTCCCCCACTGCTTCCCAGCCAACTCCTACCTAGCCTGCTTGGTTTCCTGGCAGGCACTCGCAGCAATTGTGAGAACCTGTGCTAAAGAAGTGAAATGAAGGAAGGGACAAATGAAGACTCTCGGGGCCGGGGAAGGCAAAGGAAAGGACTGGAAGACATGGCGTGTGTTGGACGTGAGGGAAGGGCCTGTTAGCGAGCACTAGCCTCAGGCCCTCTCCACAGCCACGCAGTCCCTCCGCAAACTGAGTCCAGGGTGCTCCTGTGCAGGGGGCTCTGATGAATGCTGCAGTAAGCACACTAAGTAACCCTGGCCACAAGCAACTGCTTCTCGGAAAGGTCAAAGCAGAGAACTCCTTCCGAGTGCGGTACAGTTTGTTAAGTTCTTTAATGGGCATTATCTCATCTGGGTGCTCACAGTCACTGTCATATCACCCCAGTTTATGGTGGAAGAAGCCTACATTAGAAGGAAAAAAATGAAAAAGAAATTAAGCAACCTGCCCACGGTCATATAACTACTGCAAGACAGAATTTGAACCCAAGTCCTTTATCTCCAGAGCATGTCAGCTACATGCAAAATATTTTACAGTAGCTCACAATTGACAGAATGATGCAGAATAAAGGATAAATCAGCACCTTCCGATTCTAAACATAGATCTGAGTAGAGTTGCAGATACACTATAATTAACAAAATGTTCTTTGGCTGCCTGTGCTGTTTTAAATCCTGCCTTGGTGCTTGACTAGAAAGTGTAGGGCAGGACCCCTTCTTTCAAGGTACCAACATTCTAAGCATAAGATCCTTACATAGAAAGTGTCTTAGTTATTTTCCTGGTCACTAAGACACAATACTTGACACCCACAACTTAAGAAGGAAAGGTTTATTTTGGCCCACATATTGTAGAGTCATAGTGAGCCGGCTCCAAGGTGGGGCAGCATGGCAGAGGGGCGACGCAAAGGGGAAACAGTCCTCGGCAGGGTAGGCAGAAAGAGAGTGAGATCAAGGAAGGAAAGAGAGCTACACACCCTTCCAGGCCACACACCCCCAGTGACCCTCCTCCTCCAACCAGGATTCAACTCTCAACATCACATTTAGCTATGAACTCATCAGTGGACTAATGCACTGGTGAGCATCACATTCCCATGATGTAATCACCTCCCAAAAGCCCCATCTATAAGCACACGAGGCTGGGGGAGGCACCTAAATATAAACCGTAACAGAAAGACAGTAACGCACAAGAGCAAAGCATTTATGAAGTTTAGTTTAAGTAGAGTAGGAACTAACTCAGGAGAAAATGAACATCTGAGGGTCTACAAGCAAGGTTCCAGGAGGAGGAGGAGGAGGAGAGAGCACTAAGGAAATAGATTAGCATGAGTGAGTGCACCACAGTGGATCCCAAACTTCTAGAAATGAGGCTGGAGAAATAGGTAGGAAAGAAGATAGCCTACACCACAGTGTGGATCCAGGAGTCACAGGAAAGACATTAGAAAGCAGGAAGGTGTGGCGTGGTTGGGAAAGCACCAGCAAACACAGATGTTCTAGGGTGGAAAACAAAAGAGAAAAAACTGCCAGAGTTCTTAAATTCTCAGCAAATTAGTTGTGGAATGCTGGGTCAATATTTGCTTTGCATTTTTATTTTTAATGGACACACCTGTGAGCCGAGTCAATGCTCTGCTTCTATACCAGGCTTGTTTACATCTCAAGAGGAAATGTCAGGGTGTTGGTGAGATGAGGTCCCACTTACAAACAAGCATTTATAAAGGTGGAGCTAAACAGCCATTGCTCCTGTATCCCACTTCCTCTCTGGTGTCAAAGCAATCAGGATGAAACAGTCTCATCACAAAGGCGCTACCCAACGTGCTATCATCAAGCAGTGCTGTCCTCAAAAGAGTGCTCAATTGAGAGTTAGAAGATCAAGTTCAAGGCCCAGCTCTGTCTCCTGGCTTTTGTCCACAATCATTTGTTGAACCCTCAAAAGTCTCAAAATTCTTATCTGAAAATAGTACTGATAATAACTACTTTTCAGAATCGTGGAGGAGACAAAATGAGAAACTGTGTGGAAGTTTTTAGAGTGTAGGAACACTAAAGCTTATTTTCTATGGCGTTCCTACAAATTATAGCTCTGCACTAGAGCACATGCTGGGTCTGAGGCAGTGAAGCAAACCATGGCATAAACGCCACTACCAAGTACTAAGACATTCCAGAGGTTGGGGGCAGAGAAAGAAAGAAGGATGCATGCAGAGGGCAAAAGGAGCTATTGGAATGCAGCAAACAGGAGTCTCCACCAAGGTTATAGCTTTATACGAACAAACAGAAAGCAGGAAGACTCTTAAGGATGGAAACTGCAGAGCCTGGAAAGAACTGAGGGATATTAGATCATTATTTGTAATTCGATTTAACAGTATCTTTGGAACATATATTTTGTACCAGCCATGTTCTGAGGGGTTATTGAAGATTGACACCTGGGTCTGAGGCATGAGATTAGGGCATGGCAACCTGGCTGGACAACAGGGTATGACCTGTCAACTGCAGAGACCCAATACCAATGGGAGAATTCTGTCTTCAGTTCTGGCACAAGACCAAGCCAAGCCCTGCACCTGATACCAATTTTCTGGCACACGATCAAGTGAGCTTTTGGTGGGATGCCCTAGATCTGACGTCAGCATGGGAACAGAAAAGACGGTGATCATTAAGCTTGTGGCTGTTGTAAACCCTTTCGCCAGCCGGCCTGCACTCTGCATGCTGCAGGGCATAGTACTACTTCTTTCGACTTTACTTGGGCTACACTTGCTTTGAAAAGCCCTTCCTTGCTGGGCACTTTTTTCTTTTAGAGTGCTTCTTCTGCGTTTCTTTTTCTTCTTCTTCTTCTGCCCTAAACGTTAAACTTTCACATTCCATCAGTCACCCCATCCAGTTTTTTTAATGGGACCGTAAGACCCTAGAAAGGACCACTGATGACTACAGTTCCCCATAACAGATGAAATGCCTGAGCTGCTCAGCCCCTTCTCACAGAGCTTGCCCCTGCTCACAGCCACTGTGATTAGAGTGGGCACTAAACTAATGACCAGTGTTCTTAGAAGAGGACACAGGCCACAGGGACAGCTGCGTGGGTGTGGAGACAGGGACTGGAGTTGTGCTGCCACAAGCCAAGGAACACCTGGGCTTCAAGGTGCCGGAAAAGGAGAAGCTTGTTCCCCAGAACCTGTGGACAGAGCAAGGCCCTGGCCAACACCTTGATCTCAGATTTCCCACCTCCTGCACTGAGAGAGTAAATTTGTATTGTTTCAAGCACTTTGTGATACTTTGTTACAGCATCCCAGGAAATAAACTGCAGGCGGGGTTATATTCCTCACAGGCAAAACACTCTGAGCTGAGATGCATCTGTAATTGAGCAGCCTGGACCAGTGAACTCTAAATGGTCCATGCACAGGAGTGAACCTCAAGGGTCTTTCTGATGGACCATTAAATGACACAAACGCCCAAGCCACCTCTTCAGTACTGGGAAAATCCTAAACAAACTTATAGGTTTTTACTTTTGCATATAACTAGGAGTCCACCAACCAAGATATTAAGGGTTACTAAGGTTAGAATATGAAAATTAAAACAAGTGTACAACTATATTAACAGGTGTACCAGGAATGATCACTCATCATTCTTATGTCCCAGAGTCCACAGCTGCTGCTAATCCACACTAAAAGATAACTGGAATTCCCACTTTGGGATAACGCTGTTAATAGTGCCCTTCCCTGGGAGGTCATGGCTCTTAGCTTCTGCTATTTTTACTTCTTAATTATTAACTATCTGTGCCTGTCTTCATAACTACACAGTAGGCCTGTTGGTTAACAAAATATTGACTTAGTACAATGATACAACTCATAATAAAAAGACTTCCAGGAGAAACCAGTAAGAAAGCAACAAAGAGGTCAGGGATGGGGAAGAAGCCAAGCAGGGGTGTGTTTCCAGGAGAGAGGCTGGTTCCAGCTCTGTTCCACAGCGGACTCTGAAGCGTCCTCAACACAGAGACAAAAGAACTGAGCTTTCACTTCTTCACATTAGCCACGGTGACAGGGAAGGGTAAGGAGTGACACTCAGCCACCTCGGGGTTTCAGTGACCCAGAGAGCTGAGTCCGTCCCCAGAAGGAAGTGACTGCAGACGTTCGGCATGGAGAGCTGGTCCATCTGGGTCCTCTCCGCATCCCCTTCCCGTCCCCTTCATCTTGCCCTTTGCCCCCTCTCTCGGTCCTCTTCCCATGTGTGAAACATCCCTCACCTGCTGACATCAGCACATGGTGTTGGTGCCTGCATATAAATCTGGGGGCCACACAGTCAGATCGCAAAACCCCTTCATCTGTTCTCCACGTTATACCTTTATAATTTCAAGATATAAATAGTTATATAATATGTAAACTTTGGGGGCTGGCTTTTTCACTCTGAAGATCCCTGCAGACTCATCCAAGTGGTCATGTCTCTCAATAGTTCTCTCTGTACTGCTGAGTTATACTCCGCACTATGAAGGAACCATGACTTTAACTGTCTTGGGATTGTTATAAACAAAGCTATCAGGAACGTTTCTGCTCAAGTTTTCATTTTTCTGTGATCAATGCCCAGGAGTGCAACTGCTGGTTTGACTACTACTTGCATGTTTTATTTTTCAATATACAGCCAAACTGTTTTCCAGGATGACGGTACCACTTTACGTGCTCACCTGATACATGTGCTCTGCTTTCTCCTCTCCTAGACCAAATGTGATGTTGTTTTCATCTCTCATTTTACCCATTTGGCCAGTGTGTGGTGATGCTTGCTGTGGTTTGAATGTGCATTTTCCAGTTGCACAATGATGTTGAACATATTTTTACGTACTTATTGTCCATCTGTTTTTCTTCTCAGTGGAATGTCTGCTCATATTTTTGCCCATTTTCTAATTGGACTTTCCAGTTGACTTGTATATATTCTAGATAGTGATGTGCCTGATATATGGTTTGCAATTACTGGGCCCTGTATTTTCTCCCAGCTTGTAACTTACCTCTCATCCTCCAGTCAGTTTCACAGAGCAAAACTCAGAACAAGTTCAGTGTATCTGTTTTCCCTTAAGAGATCGTGTTTTCTCTGAATTCCTTCCTAGGCATGACTGTCTATGTACAAAATACCAAGGAATCAACCAAAAAGCCGACCATAAGCAAAACAAAGAGAAACACTATGCCCCCAGATAAACCAACAGAACTCCTAGAATTGATAAGCAAGTTTATCAAAATTCAGAGCACACAAGATAAGTATTCATTAGTATATATGTTCATAGTATATACTACACTGAATATTTTCTCTCATGTTTTTTCTAAAAGTTTTTTAGTTTTACACCTTATACTTAAGTCCGTAATCCATTTATTTGTTTATATAAGGTGCGTGGTTCATTCTTTTCTTACAAACGTTTGATTGCTCCAGAACCATTTCTTGAAAGGTTATTCTTCTTCATCCACTGAGTCGCTTCTGAATCTCTGTAAAAACCAGTTGGACATAACTAGGTAGTTCTGAGTTCTCTGTTCCATTCCACTGCCCAGTGTGTGGCTTTTCCCAGCCATACCATGCTCCTGATCACTCACCTAAGTCTTGAAATCGGGGAGATCGATTCTTCCCACTTTGCTCTTTCATGCAATTGTTTCTAGTTCCTTTGCTTGTCTAAACTGCAAAAAGTCTTGCTGGAACTGTGATGGGAAGCGCATTGTGTATGACTTTGGGGAGAACTGACACCTTTATTATATTAAATCTTCAAGAGCATTCAGTGTCTCTCCGTTTATTTAGATCTTCTATGTCATTAATCAGCATTCTATAGCTTTCCACATACATACTGTACATATCGCTAGATTTACATATATTTACATATATGTAAATATATGTAAGGGAAGGAAATATATGTAATTATTCTTATATATTGATGGGTACTATTTGAAAACATTTCATTATGTTTTTTTTTTCATCTCTGTTCACAGGGATATTGATCTATGTTTTTTTTTATATTGGCTCTGATCTTTATGTCAGAGTAATATGGGTTTCAAAAGATGAATTGAGAAGTATTTCCTTCTCTAATGTTCTGGAAATGATTGTAGAGCACCGAAATTAATTTTTTTAATGATGGATAGAGTTTTCCAGTGAAATTAAGCTTAGGCTTTCTTTGGGAGCGGGTGCTGAACTGTTCATTCAATTTTTCTTAATGGCTATCAGGCTATTCAAATGATCAACTTCGGATTGGATGACTTGTGGTAGTTTATACTTATTAAGGAATTGGTCTGCTTCATCTAGGTTGTCTACCTCATGTGTGCAGAACTGTGTGTAACATTCCCTCATTATCCAGTGTTTTCATTCCCACCCTTATAAGGCTATTTATCCCATTAGTAAGACTATGAAAAATATAGATAAATTAAGCACCCAGAGCCAGAGCAAGAAGGACGATGCCCTCAAGGGAGACTTCCTTTCTCATGTACAAGAAGCTGAAAGATTAAAGGAACAACTCATTTCTAATACTAACCTGTGTCTGAAATATTTTCTACAGATATAGATGGCGTGTTTCATATATGTGTTTGCTATAGTCAGGCATTATCTTCTATTATAACCTACAGCTGTTAATCCCAACCATGAAAGGTAGCAAGGCCAATGTTATTATTTTTCCATTTACCATTACAAGTAAGGAAACAGCAAAATCAATAGGACTTGCAAGAATGAAAGAATTAAAAGCATCTCTGTAAGATTTAAATGTTTCTGAAATTGTTCTAAAGTGAAATAACCAACAATTCAAAGTATAGCTTACTCGTTTTTTTAATAATAAGGGGTTAACATGTTGTGGTTGTTTATATGCAGTTACCTGAACATCTATACAATTCCTCTACAAATCAGCCTCACCTTACCAACTAATCCAGATCCTCTCTAATGCTTCTGAAGCTTGGCTATCACCAGAGTCCTGTACTGGCTCATTTTCCCTTCCAGACTTTCCCCTACTCTTTCGGAGGCTGGTGACCAAGGAACTCCCTTGCCCTGTCTTCAAGTTCCGTGGGCCAGCAGAGGATCCCGAGCCAGTCGGAGATCAGACAGACAGAGCGATCTGTCTCTCTGTGGAGTCACCACGGCTGGCCCCACCCCACCAGGCACAGCTCCTAGAAGGCAATCCTTGCGCACAGCTGGCTCTCCAGACTGTGCCTGCTCCCTGGGGGAAGGGGGAGGGAACAGAGCACTGCCTTCTCCTTTGTGGTTTCCCTATACTCTGCCCACAGCTTAAATCGTTCCTTTAATAAACTCTCCTCAAATTACCCAATTTCAGTGGGCCATCTGCTTCCTGCCAGGACTCATATCCTACAGTGGGTAAAATTTCCAAATCCCAAACACCAGACATGCATTGTCAATGGTCACAAAGCAATAATTATTTATTTGTTCTTTTAAAAAGTCATTTACAGGTATTTACAGGCAAATGATTTCTACTTTAAAACACATGAAGATAAGAAAGTGAGGTTAAAATAGCATGCAGACATTTCCTGTTATTTTGCATTAACTGTACCCGAGGTATTTGTGAGTGCAGTGTTTGCTTACCTAACTACTATACCGTTACAGTCCAGCACTAATTACTTCTGTGTACGGCTCTCACCACTAATGCTCTCCGCACCAAGAACTCCTTGCTGCTCAGTCAACTGGGTAGTTGACTGGTAGTCTCTCTACCCAGCCCTACTGGGCCCAGCGCTCTGCCCTGTCTCAATACAGGAGTTAATTTCTCATAGATCATGATTCTATTCTCTCTACCCTTGCTGAGCCCCTTTATGAGGAAAAATGACCAAGAACTAAGTGTTTTGAAAACTGGTGATAAAGGCACTATTTCCTACTCATATAAAAGGAAACAAAACCAGTCAATATCAAGGCAGCAGAAGATAAAATCAGAAGCGTTTCCACAAAAATATTAGAGTTCAATGGGCTTAGCATTTAGACGACTTCTATTCCAAACAAATATGGTAACCATAAAGCTTAAGCTGTGCTGACTTAGCCAGAATGAAACGAAGTTAAGGCATTGTCCAGATAACTCAGGATACAACAAATAAGCAGGCAAAACAAGACATCACTCTGTGTCGTGGCCGCATCTCTGTGTGCAGTGGCAAGAACACCTATACTATGCCACCGTTTCTGAGCCACATGACAACTGGTCTCAATTATGCCACTTATGCTGAGAGTATAGACATATTAAAGGAAAAAATCCTGAATGTTTAATCTGTATGGGCTACTTAGCAGTTCTGACCTCAAATAAATGAAACACTTGGTTATGGTAGGAGGGCACATGCTATGTTAAGACTGAGGTAGACCTCGGGACTCACTCTCTCCAGCTCACTCATTTTATGGGCAAGAAAACTGGAACCCAGAGAGGCTTGGCAACCTGCTGAAGGTCACGGAGATGTGCCCCTGCCTGGTGCTTCTCCCCACAAGACACTTACTTGATTACCCATTGCAGAGTTGGTCTACCTGCAGCAGACCTTTTCCAACACCTCATTCAATGTTGCACGAATGAATGGACGGTGTGTGTCTTCTGCAGTCTGTCTGATCAAATCTAGAAAAGGTGCTGGGTCACATGCAGATGCTGACACTATGACTCAGTGGCCGCCAATGTAAAGAAAAGGTCCCTACACTTTGAACTAAATCCTGTACTTCCAAATAGGATGGAACCAGTGTGGATACTGTGGTACGAAGAACCCTGGTTTCCTCTGCCACCTTTTATAAACCCAGCCCTCAGGAGCTTTTGTGGCAAGGGCAGTGGGAAAAGATGAGGAAAACAGAAGTGAATGGGAGATCTGGCCTCTTCCATGTGTCACAGGCTGTATGCAAACAGTCCACACAGCAAAGACTGAGGACACAGGACAGACCAACAAAACAGACTAACACTTTCAGCGGCTTTGATCCCACCGGTACAGACACAGTCTGGATTCTGTGTCATATTTATTTTGACCTTGGGGTGAAAAATGCTACTAAACAGAAATTGTAATAAAGTCAATAACTATCCAGTAAATAGTTTATCTGTTTTAGCAAGAAAAGACTCTTTTTGGCAAATGGTTCTGCAGTTAAAGAACATGAAGACACGTGGAACTAACCTCCCCCTAGGAAAATGCCCCCAAATGACCACGGTGAAAGGCACATACCACTGCCCCAGCAGTTCTAGTTGTCTCTAGCATGTGAAAGTTTAATTGTGCTTTTTAGCTTGCTGTCGATGCAACGTGACTTCAGAAAGTGACATCCGTGCATGTGTATAGTTTCTTTTCAAATGGGTCAATCCTTCTCCGCTTTTCAGAGATGCATTTCCCGAAGACATTCTATTAGTTCTCTGTTTTATAAAAGATCTAGTCCATCCGGGTCTCAGAAAGACACGCTTCACAGTTTGTGCTCTGTTTGACCTGGAGGCAGAGTCTGAGTTATCCTCATGCCCTCATGCGAAGCGGAGCTTGCCGAGATAGCACTGGGCCAACGCTGTCATTTCTTGGAATGCGAAAGTCCAGGGTTATTCTCTTTTCTCACCGGTTGTTTAAGGGTCACTTCGCTTCCGGAAGAGATGATCGGCAAACTGTTGTCCATGTGGTATCTGATAAGGTGCCCAATGTTATCAAATATGTGATCCTTGGTCCTCACCTTGAAAAGGAAGTATAAATATGCTAGGGTTAAATAACAGCATTCTTCTGGAAGATGTAAACAATCAGAGAGGGAAACCGGGCATATCCAGAAAGAAGATATTTTGATGACTAAAGAGAAGTTCCTTTCCAACACTATATTTTTTTCAGCTTTAATTGAGTTTATTGGAACACTATATTTTTTAATAAATAGTTTTCTCACCCTCCACTATCCTCTTGTAGCCACCATCCTTAGCAGTTAGGAAAAGGATAGCACACGCCTGTCAATCCAAGTTTGCAATCTGCCTCTGCGATGTCATTGCTTAACACACTTTGGATAGTTCTTCTAATACTATGTTGACTAGATGTGGTGAAAATGAGAACTCTTGTCTTATTCCTGATATCAGAGGAAAAGCTTTCAACTTTTACCATGGAGTACATTGTCGGCTGTGAGTTTTTTACATACACCTTTATTATGTTCAGTTAATTTCTTTCTATTCCTAGATTTTTTCAGTCTTTCTATAATGAAAGTACTGAAGCTTGTCAAATGCTTTTTCTGAATCTGTTGAGAGACGTATGTGATTTTTATACTTTAATCCATTAATGGAATATCTCACACTGACTGATTTGAATCATTCCTGCATCCCAGGAATAAATCTATGTGGTCATGATCCCTTTAGTGTGCTGTTTAATTCAGTTTCCTTTCCTATATTGTCTTTCTCTGGGTTTGGAATCAGGGGTTATACTGGCTTCATAAAATGAGATAAAACCTTATTTTCTCCAGTGTTTTGGAAGTGCTTGTGAGGGACTGGTACTAATTCTTTAAATATTTGATACAATTCACCAATGAGCTCTCCATTACTGGCATATATTTTATTACTGACTCAAGTTCTCTACAAATTTAGGAATACAGATTTTCTATTTCTTCATGATTTGATCTCGTTAGGTTGTATCTTTTTAGGAATTTATCCATTTCTTCTAAGTTATCCAACTTATTGGCATATAACTGTGCACAGTAGTCTCATAATCCTTTTTATTATGTAGCATCCATTGTAAGCATTTCCTTTCATTTTTCTATTTCACTTGTATCTTCCCCTTTTTCTTAGTTATCTTAGCCAAAGTGTTGCAAATTTTCATGATGTTTTCAAAAAACAACTTCAGTAACATTGATTTTTTTTCTATTACTTCTATTCTTTATTTCATTTACTCTTCCCTGCTCTAATTACTTATGGTCTGAGTGACCCTCAAGGATCCATTACGTTTAAAGACCTGGTACCCAGTCCTACTGGGCGATATACTGGAAGTGCTGTAGAACTTCTGGGAGGTAGATCTCCTGAGAAGCCCTTATGTCATTGGCAGGAAGCCCTCAGGTTATCTTCAGAGGGCTCCTTGGTAGTTCTCACAAGGGCACCAGCTTTGGCTGCACCCTCCTCTCTCTGCTCATAGCTTGAGATGTGATTACTGAACATTTGTCCCTGTATGCGCCCACATGGCCATCACGCCATGAAGTGATATAGCCAAGGGGCAGTCACGACTATACTTTGTCAAGATTCAGCCTCCAAGCTGAGCTAAACCAACTTTTCACTTTAGAGTTAGCTGCCTTGGGTATTTAATCATAATACTGCAAAACTGACTCTAACTTACATGCTCTAATCTTAATTATTTCTTTCCTTTTGCTAAATTTGTGCTAGGCTGATTCTTATTTTGGGGTATAAACTTCAATTGTTTGAGATCCTCTCTTTTTTATTAGACATTATCACTATAAACTTCTCTCTTATTAGGGCTTTTGCAGCACCTCATGAGTTTGGGTATATAATGCTTTCGTTTGTCTGAAGATATTTTGTAATTTTTCCTTTTTGTTTCTTCTTTGACCTATTTGCTATTCAAGAGTGTTATTTAAATTCCAAATATTTGTGAAAATACTAGCTTTGCTACTACCATTGTCTTAGTTCTATTCTGTTGATACTTGGTATGATTCCAATCTTTAATTTGTTGAATTTATTTTGTGACCTAAAACCTGGTGTCCTGGTGAAGGAACTGTGTGCATCTGAGTAGGACGTGTATTCTGCTGCTATTGGGCGGACTTCTGTACATGTCTCCTAGAGCCATTTGATCTTCAGTTTGGTTCAAGTTCTCTTTTTTCCCACTCATCTTGCCTGATGATCTATCTTTTATTGACAAAGGACACTGAAACCCCCTATATTATTGTGCTGACTTCTATTTCTCCCTTCAGTCTTGTGAATGTTTGCTTCATATTTGGATGCTCTGCTTTTGTGTTCATACATATTTATAACCATTTTGTCTTCCTGATGAATTGATCCTTTTAGTGTTATATTGTGTCTGTCTGCTTTGGGGGAATTATTTCCATTTAAAAATCTATTTTATCTGATATAAGTATGTGCACCCCTGCTCTCTTTTCACTACATTTGCATGGAATATCTTTTTTTCCCCTTTTACTTTCAGCCCACTTGTGTAGTTATATTTAAAGCTAATCGCCTGGATAGCATACAGTTGGATCTTTATAAAAATCCTCTCAGCCACTCTGTCTTTTGATCGGGAAATTTAATCTGTTTACATTGAAAGTAACTATTGCTAAGGAAGAAAATATTTTTTTCCATCTTGCAAATTATTTTCTGTCCACATCGCAGGTTTTTTGTCCCACTTTGCCTCTCTTGAAGTCTTGCTTTGAGTTTCACTGATTTTTTTTTTGTGCATGGTGGGGGTGATAAGCTTTGATTTCTTTGTGAAACTTCTGTAGTTATTTTATGTATAGTTACCATAGGGCTAACATAAAACATTTCATAACAATCTACTTTAAGCTGATAACTTAACTTTAATGCCATACCGATATTATATATTTTTATTTCATACATAACTTTATGTTGTTGATTTTTCAAATTGTATCTTCTCATATTGTATATCCCTTAACATATTTTACAGTTTTTTATACTTTTGTCTTTTAACTTCTATACCAGAGTTAAGTTCTTTATACACCACCATCACAGTGTTATAGTTATCTTTGTCTATATATTTACCTTTATCAATCAGCTGTATACTTTCTTATATGTTCATGTTACTGTTTAGCATCTTTGTATTTCACCTTGGAGGATTCTACTTAGCATTTCTGTAAAGCAGGTCTAATAGTTAAGAACTCCTTCAGCTTTTATTTATCCCAGAAAGTCTTCATTTCTCTTTCACTTTTAAAGGATAGCTTTAGCAGATGTAGTATTAATTCTGAATATACCAAGTCCACTAATAGTCTTAAAGGAGTTCCCTTGTACAGAAGAAGGCTCTTTTCTCTTCTTGCTTTCAGATTCTGCCTTTGACTTTTGATGAGTTGATTATAATGTGCCTTGTTGCCAGTATCTTTGGATTCCTCACACTTGGTGTCTATTTAGTTTCTTGAATCCAGTGCCTATTTCTTTTCTCCAGATTTGGGAAATTTTCAGCAATTATTTTTATTTATTTATTTGTTTGTTTATTTAATTATTGGTACCAGGGATTGCACTCTTGTGCTTGCAAGGCAAGTGGCAGGACCACTGAGCTAAATCCCCAGCCCTATTTTATTTTAAATAAACTTCTACTCTTTTCTCTATTTCTTTTTCTTTTTGGGTTCCTATAATGCATTAAGGTCCTGTAGGTTTTCTTCATTTTTTCTTTTTGTTCCTCTGGACAATTTCAAATGAAATGTCTTCGAGTTCACTGATTCTTTCTTCTGTTCGATTTGGTCTACTATTGGACTCCTCTAATGAATTTTTCAGTTCAGTTACTATATTCTAGTAGCTCCAAAGATTCTGTTTGGTTCCTTTTTCTATTTTCCTTCTCTTGGTTGCTTTTCTCATCGTGTTCATGGATTGTGTTGTGGAGCTCATACAACATCTTGATGGTAACTGTTTTGAATTCTTATCAAGTAACTCACATACTTCCACTTCTATAGGATGAGTTTCTGGATATTACCTTGTTCCTTTCTCTGGGCCCCATTTCCCTACCTCTTGGTGAGTCTAATAACTTGTGCTGGGATCCAGCTATCTCTCTAGCCTTCCCAGCCCTGCTGGCATCGTAGGGTCTTCTGACACCGCTGATGGGGGATGTGACTTCTTTGGGACCATGTTCAATTTCTCACTGAAAGAGGGCCAAGTTTCCAGAAGGTTGTAGTCCCTTGCTCCCTCTGGTATCTCTCTGTGGCACCTAAGTTCTCTCCCTCTCCAGCAGCCACTGGACACCCAAACTGTTCTGACTTCCCACTAGCCCCCTAGTCAGGCATGACAGATTCCAGGTCACTGGGCAGCACTGTAAGAAGCCAGGATGTTGGATGCGCACCTCACTCCTCTCCCTCCCTGGGAGAAGCCTCACATGGCACACCTGCTCCTGAGGACAGAGCAAGGCCAGCTGCAGCAAACTACCTGTGCCCTTCCTTCTTCTCAACAGCTCCCAGCACCCAAATGATGCTGGTTCCATGAGCACTATCTAAGGCAAGACAGAAACAGTCCCTCCAGCAGCTTTCACCTGGGATTCATGCTCCAGTCTGCTCTGCCCCTCCAGGAAAAAGCCCCGAGCCAGATCACTGTCCCCTTGCACTGAGCAGTGCTGCTGCGCGTAAAGTGAAGTTTCTCTTCTTACCAACTTCACCATGATGGTTCTCGGCTTTGTGCCACCTGGGGCACTGTGACTTCTTAACCAGGTTCTGGAATTCCCATAAAGGTATTTGGGTCCACAGAATTGTTAAGCCAGCATTTCTGTTGGGCAAGGAGAGCTGGAACATTTTCTTCCAATGTCATCACTGGAACTTCCTCTTGCTGATGTCGTGACTCACATAGGTTTTTATCTTTTTTCTCCTCCAAAACTGCCAATGTCACCAATCTACAAATTAGGCATTCTGGTATATGCTACCACCTACCTTTTCAGGATCCCTATCTGTCTAAGGCATCCTCTGCTCTAGCCACACGCTTTTATTGTCTGAATACCATCCTATTCCTTGGCATGCTCCTATGGCTCCTTCCCTACACTCCATACCTCCTTTCGAAATTCTTCTCTCTTCCAGGGTTTACCCTACATATCAGACCCTACGAAAAGCCTTCTCAGTTTACCTTGACTAGAACGAGGTCTCTGATAAGCACGATCATGCTTTGGTTGAACCATCCTTACCTCATTGTGCCTTACACTACAGCTATTTAAGCACCTGCTCTATGAAATCACAGGCATCCTGTGAGCTAGAACCATTCGTGGGATAATGGGCGAGAGTCAGAAGTGAGTCGCTACACTTCCAGTATTCACGTCCTCCATGGAGCTGGACTGAGAAGGGAAGAAAGAGGCCATCGCCTCGACCTGATACTCCAGGGTGGCCTCCTACCCAAACCTCTCCCTTAGCTTCTCCTTAGCACTGGAAGGTCCAAGAAAAAGGAAACACATTGCCTTGAACACCACTGAGCACCAGATTCTGGATGCCACTCAAGCAACCCTTGCAGAACAACACCCTGAGGGGTCTGGGAGGAGAAGCCCACGGTACCTTGCCTTCGGGGTCCACCAGGAGAAGGTGCTTTGCCTGGCCACCCTGTAGTCCACTCAGTACGTACTGGCCAGGGGATGTCACGCTCTCTCGAACCAAAAAGTCCCCATCCTTCACCAGAAGGCTCTCTGCCGCCTTCCTGCTCAGCTTGCCATGGTAGCAGTCTTCACTCCAGAGCTGTTGTTTAATGTGTGGCAAAGAACGTGAGCCAGCAGGCTGGGCCGTGGCGCTGGGCTGAATGGTCTCCGGGGCCTCTGAGGTCAGAGCACAAAGACACATGACTGTGTTACCTCCCACCATCCATCCCTGATACACACAACTCAAGGCCCTACTGTATGCCATGCCATTAGGTAACACTGCTGCACACAGAGGGGCTCCGGTTTTCATTCTAATTTAATGGCAGATTCAGACACTGCCTTCAGCTTCCATCACCAGCAAGGGCACGCCCATGGGTAGTTTTCCTTCCTATGAGAAATGGAAACAACTCATGTGAGCTGCTTTTATGACTGCAGAAAGAGTCTCTATATTCTTGAGGCTTCAAGTGAAAGAGAGAGAGGCTTATGCCAGAACCGGAATATAGACACCTTCTACCAAGTAGGAACAGCAACTTTGGATTGTGCCTATTTTTTAATATTTAGCTTTTCTTTATTATGGTACTGGGTATTGAACCCAGGGCCTTCACATTGAGCTACATCCCCGGCTTTTTGCATTTTTTTAAATTTTGAAACAGGACTAAGTTGCCCAGGCTGGGCTTAAACTTGTGATCCCCCTGCCTCAGCCTCACAGTGTGCTGCATTACAAATGTGCACCATCATGCCTGCCCCTCCCTTTTTAAACTAATTTACAACTTCCTAATGTGTTTCTAGACAATCTTCAACCAAAAATTTCAACGCTTTGCTAAACCTCTTAGCATGCCTATTAGCATGTTCACCTGTCTAGACAAAACAGTTGACAAGGTAAAAGGAAGTATACAACAGCGAGGCTGGGCCTAAGCACTGCCCCAGGGCCTTGAAGGATAAGTGTTGTTCAGAGTCAAGAGTTCTGGGGAAGGAAAAGTACACCATCAATTAGAGCTTGGTGCTATTGATACTCACAGTGCTAATAATTATTGTATAGCTCCCATTTATTGTAATAGGTATCGTTAAAAGCTATATATACTTTATACTATCTTACTTCCAAAATCAGACAGCCAAATGATGATCTTCAGGAAGTTAAGTGACTTACTCAAAGTCCCACTGCTAATATATTGTAAATCTGGGGTAGGCAAAAAGGTCCATTTTACTGCAAAGCCTGGGTTTTAGTCTATAAGCTCTAAGGCTCTAGGCTTGGATATGAAACTATTTCCATTTTTCAAAACTTTCCTCACCTTCTGACTCTGCAGTATCCACAGTGGTCTCTAGCAGAAGACATGGCTATGAGAGAGGTGTGCAGTCTAGTAGATGACATGACTGTCAGAAGGCTGTGTAGCATCTCCAGAGTAGCAGCATAAATTCGCATGCTGAGTTCAGGGAAAGCTCATAATGTTTGATGGGAATTTACCAGGAAATAACTATAAAAACAAGCTTTGCATTTTACACGCCAAGGACTATTTTGCTTAGAAACTAGACTCAATTAATTCAATTATATCCTTATGCTGGTCTCATCAACAAGAAATTCATATGATTCTTTACAACTTGTACAGAACCAGTCCATGAAGTCACTGGTGTGGGCAACCAGTGCCCTGTAGACAAGACGCAGTTCTGTTGTTAATATGTTACAGTTCTGTCCCTGCTTAAGAACATCTCTCTGCATAACACAGTTATGATGCAGCAGTCACAAAGATCTTTTAAAAATATCCTGAAGTGTAATGACTGGAAATAATTTTCCTCTACAAACAATAAAGTGTTTCTATTGTTGCCAGAAAAAGCCTAATGAAATGTGTCCAGACTTGATGAATGATACTGCAGTTGGCCTGGGTGTTGCATGCTTTCAAGACAGTGGAGAACTTCTAATGAATCTGTGTGTGTGTGTGTGTGTGTGTGTGTGTGTGAGAGAGAGAGAGAGAGAGAGAGAGGACACATATGCATGAGTGTGAGGCCACACACGTGTGCATAAGTGTTGGCACACACATCCTAGTGCATGATGGATTTTGGTTTGTTCTGAGATTATGGTGAAGAACTTTTGGACAAGGACAAAACAAAGAAAAGCAGACATTATATCATCTTGAAAAGAGGCAACAGATCATGGGCCAGCCAGAGGACGTGGACAATGTTTCCCTGACACAGTTTCCCAAATTAGCACAAGGACAAGACCCACTGTGCTGGGAAAGTTCAATCACTCCAATATTTACTGAAAATCTAATTCTGCTGAAAGCACAATATGTGACTTTTCTTAACCTCAAAAGTTATATTTGCCAAACTTTTTAAATTCGAAAAACAGAAAAACAAAGAAAATCACGTATGGTGCCTTCATTAAATATAATCACTCTTAATGCTGTGATACATTCTCCAGTATCTTGCAATTTTTCTTTTATATAAAGTTGACTTTGAGAATGACAATCATAACCTAAGCGTAGTTATGTCATTTCTAGGCAAAATTTAATAAATTGTTGGTTGATGTATTTTCTTAGAAGAAGCAGTGAAAGCTAAGGAAGGCCACTCTGTATTTCAATGAAACTTTCTACCCCTCAGAAGGTGATGTAAGTCACAGAAGCAAGCTGTCACGTCACCTTGGAGTTCCTACTAGCAACTGAAGACATATTGTTCACAATCACAAGAAGGCACAGGGAGGGTATGGTTATCCACACACACACTGCTCTGATGGACAAAACGTCTAAAAAGGGGAATACAGCTTATGGATAAAAAATTAACGTGCAAAATCTGGATTAAGCAATTGCAAGTAATTTTAATGAGAAAGGAATGAGACATTCTAAAAAAACTAGTGGGTAAAAAGTGCTGTATTGATTAAAGCAGCACTGCTCATACTAGGAAAGGACTGGAAAAATTTAAATCTCCGTCTATAAGAGACTGATAATATCAATTATGATGCATTCATAAAATAGAGTAACATAGAGCAGCTGACAATAGTGAAGATCATGTGCTAATGTGGATGACTCTACAACAGAAGATTGAAACAAGCAGGCAGAGAAGAGGGTTACCATATCCGTCATTTAATATTTAAAGGCGTTAAAGAGGTAGGTAGGTAGTACTTAACCATGCATTAACATTCTGAAAGTAGTCAGAAGAAACTGTTAGCATCTAGGGAGTTAGATATAGTATTAGGGCATGGGAAGGATCTTTATTCTTTTCATTTTACACTATTCTTTATTGTTTGAATTTCTTTTATAAGCCTCTTACAACTTTTAAATTGGAAAAAAAAACTATCTATAAACCAGGCATGGTGGACCACGTCTATAATCCCAGCACTGTGAGAGTCTAGACAGGAAGACAGTGAGTTCAAGACCAATCTAGGCAACTCAGTGACTAATCAAGACCCATCTCAAAATAAAAAGTAAAAACTGTGGATATAATTCCACAAAAAGGCCCTCAGTTCATTTCCTGGTACCACCATAAAACAAAAATGAAACCTGTCTATAGAATAAAATGTATACCAAAGTTACAGTAGCCACACAATTAAGGATATCATCAGAAAGATACAAAGATACATCCGGGTTGGGGGTAGGTTTCTGAAACCTACCCTTTATCCTCTCATGATAGGACTCCACTTCCTATGGAAGGGACCATAAATACAGTCAGTTCTGGTTGTTTCGGGGAGTTACATTTTATAAGTTGCCACAAACACTGGATTAGTGAGAACTATGCTGCTCTTCGTAAGAGAAATCCAGGGTTTAAGTTCCTACAAGCCTCAGGTCAAAACATTCTCATCAGATATACAGTCTTACTGTATACAGGTTTATGTTTAAAGACACTTTGTTTCATAAGTATTAATTACCACTGAGTTTAGTCAATCAGGCTTTCTCTATGACAGATGTTCTCTCTGCTGTGCACACCAGTCTTCCAGCAAACAGTAGACAGCACTCCAGTACCGTGCTTGGGGACACTTTAAACAGTGAAACCACCAAGTAGCACAATGTAAAAAGGGTGGCCCTAAACAGACCACCAAAGGACTCTTGTTGCCAGGAGAACTGGAAAAAGGTAGCACTTTCCTCGGCTGACTTTAGTGGGATGTAGGCACCAGAGGGCGCTCTGCGCATGTCTGCGAATGACCACACCAGGAGTGCTGATTTTGGAGTTACAATTAAATTTAAGCGACTAAGCTAATTCTCAAATATGAAACCTGTGAATACTGAGAACAGACTGTACATGGTTCATTACTATGTCTGACTGGGTGTATGAAAACTGCACAATGGATTTTTTTGCACAAAAATCATAAATTTCTTTGCATTATTGAGAGGAAAAATGCATGTACCTCCATAAAGTGCTAAAAATGTGGTAGAAAAATGTTGACACAAAACACTAAAGCATAAGTGATGGGTTCAAAGAATAGAGAAAAATTATTTGTAATCTAAGGGAAGAATTACGTATCTATGCGGACATATTACAAAGACACGGCAGTTAGTATATGGTGATTAGTACACTGGTATACAGCAGGTAAGTGGCCCAATAGAAAAAGTAGATTCAGAAGTAGATTCACGCACACAGGAGGAGCCTAAAATACAGAGCAATATTAGGGAGAAAAGGAGATTACCGACTCAATAGTATATGGGCAAAATTAAACTAGACCCCTCCCCTCTCATCGAAAATATAAATGGTCAAGTGGAATCAACATTTTAGGATGGAAATAAAATATAAAGCATATAAAATAAGATGTAGTAGAAACAGGAAAATTTAATCCAAAGAGAATATAAGGAATTTATAAGATGAAAATGGAAACCAACAAAATGATAGAGGAAATGAAACTGAAACCTGTGTACTCTGGAAATATAGCTTGATAAAGTCAATAAGTCTAGAAGAGAAGAGATCATCAGGTAAGAAAGGAGAAAATCCCCAATGAGAAGGAGAGAAGAGATCTTACCTCACACCCTTCGAGCAGTCAGAATATGATGAAGGCGTGCATGTGAAGCTGCCTGTGGACACGGCTCTAATGAAGTAGAACCCTAGTTTCTGAAGAATTCCATCGCCAAAGAAAGCACAGTGCCTCTGGGTCTATGGCTTTTGGCCGGAGGCAGACTCCAACCTCATGGTCATAACACCACCCAGGGGGCTGTAAGAGGTGAAGCCCAGGAAAGGCGGCTTCTCTGCCTACTTCAAGAAGGTACTGGGAGGGCAAGCGTGAGAACAACCCAGCGGGGCGGCCCAGGCCCACGGGCGACTACGGACACCAATGTCATCTCAGAGTGGAGCCAGGGCCCAAGCAAATTGCTGCCTCCCTTCCAGCTGTGGGCGTGTTGACAGCTGGCAGGGTTTGATCAATGCCTGCGCCCGGCACTGGTTTAGGCTTCCCTTTTGTGAATGCAAGCCCACAGAAATGTAGCCACCCTACTCCTATTCATTCCACCACTGCATTCTGGTGTGGAGGGGCAGATGATGAGAACCCCTATCCATCTCAAATGTGTAACTGTAGGGGGGCTGTTTGCAGTAACCCCTTTGAGGAGAGGGCAAATACACTCTGTGTGCCATGAAAAGTTATGGCTGAGAGGTGGAAAGGTACACGGTAGCAGAGACAGCTGCCTAGGACCCATGCTGCGAAGGCACAGCAATGCCTATTCCCCTTACAGTACACTGTAGAACTCCTGAGGTTTAGGCGGCACCCAGCTAGAGTAATTCTCCAGCCTCCCTTGCAGGTTAAGTGCCGCCAGCGGCAACGGGGAGAAATAGTGCCTGTCTCTCCTGGGTCATATCCTTTAGAGAAACGTGTATCCATTCCTCTCCTTCCGCTCTTCCTACTGGCTGAATACAGATGTGCTGTGGGAACCCAAGCAGCCCCCACGGGCCAGAGATGGAAGCCAGATGTTGAGACTGGCAACACCGCCTTACACTGGCCCTGTGCTGCCAATCCTTGAGCCATTAGGTAAAAGAAGGAAACTTCAGCCCTCCTCATGCTATACTATGGGAGAAGGGTTCCTTTGTTAAGGCAGTTTAGACTGAAACTAATAATGAGTAGACGAAGAACACTAGTACTATGACTAAAGGTGGCCCTCTGGCATGTTCAGTAAGAACAAAGATCACAGCAGACGTTGCTTTCGTTGGCAGTGTGACGGGATGAACCAAGGGACCCTGAGAGCATGCTTGAGAGATACTGGGCTCAAAACTCTGGATTTGGTTTGGTTTGGTTTGGTTTATTGGTTTGTTTCTCTAATACTGCATGGATCAGTAAGCTCTTGTCTGGATAGAGAAGGCCAAGTCTGCTTAAAGAAGCTACAGGATTCTTTGTGTTGTTTGAGACAGTCTTTTCAGAGCTGCGGCCAGCCTTAGAGGATTCCTCAGGAGGAAGGAATGAAATAGGAGGAACCAATATGAGGCAGAGTAAATAAAGCCATTTAAAACATTTTACAGGAAAAAATACACGTGAAGTTAATCCTGCTCTATCTCTTCATAAAATTTTAAGTCAACATTACGCATTTGGAGCTGTATTTTTTTTTAAAGGAGTAAGGGCTGGTGTCTGCAATTAACCTCAAGAGGGCAGCAAAGAGCCAGGGAGGACTAAGGTACGTGAAATCCTAACAGGACGCAAAGAGGGGGGATACAGAGGGACACAGAGGCCTCAGCTTCGAAGTGCTGTCACTCAGGGACGGAGAGGGAGAAAGGTGAAAAGAAAGAAAGCCACAGTCAGGGAAAAGCACTGACAGTACTTTTCTACTAGGGGTAACAATGTTGCTGTGGATTAATTTTGCCTTTCCATAATATTGAATCCTTTGTGACAAAAAGCAGTCTCTTTGCTTGAGTTATAAATATTTTTAACATGGAAGTTATAAATATTTTTAACATGGAAGAGAATGAAGTTGTGAACCAGAGAATATCTCAGATTAATTTGGGGTTTCCAACCCGCTGTGTCTCTGGAAGCCCACGACATGGACGCTACCAAGTGGGCACTCTTACAGTTACTTTAAAAACCACCCCCGTGGACACTTCACATTGGACACTGAGCGAGCCTCCTGCAGAAATGTGAATTCCTTTTCCATCCCATCATCCATCTCACAAGATGCCCTCTGTGGTGACACAGAGATGTACAGATCACCCTCCAAGGAACGACTGACTGGCCCCACACAGAGGTCAACCTCCTGCCCACCAGCCATTCAGGGTCTGCCTCGGTGGCACAAGAACTTCTCCCTGGAATGTCCCATTCCCACTCATGAGAGAATGAGTTTCTGTGGGGTTGGCCCAGGCTTTAGCCGGCAGGCACTACGTTCAGTCTCTCCACCACTTCTGCTTCCTGGTACTGAACCTCATGAAGCCCTTGCGGGCCAGGCGCCATCTTAGTGTCTGCTTCCAGAGAAGATGGCAGCCACCTGGCTGACAAGAAGGACTTGCCTGGTCTCAGGAGTTAGGGGAGTCTGTGGCACCCAAGCTCAATAAAATCTCCTGCTATAAAATGTGTCCTGCTACTGCAGCCACACTAGCTGCAAAGTTGCCTTTAGCACCTCTGGAGAAACTTCCTGGGCTGATGAAAGGACCGTCTCAGGGACTGGTTCTCCAACTTTGGGGCAAGCCAAATTTGACATCAAGCCAATCTCAGCACCCAACAAGCTTCAGTATTTTATGAAAAGCATTTTTTGTTTATTTTCCAGTTTAGGCCTTTGGTTTCTTTTGCTTTATGTTCTTGTTTATGCACTTGCCCCCCAAAATAATTTAGCAGGCAAATGATGTTTGTCTTGCTGCATTTCCCTCACAGTATATGGCTGAAGAAAGGAGTTATCTTATTTTAGAACCATACAGATGACTTATCAAGGAGTTTTGAAACAAATCAAATTAGTGCCATTGATAAAGAAATGCTATGCAGTAAAATAGGCCCTTGCCTTGCCTCCATTTTTTTTTTTTTTTTT